GGAACCCTTTTAACCCTTACAGGAACAGAGAACCCTCGTAGAACCCTATGGATCCCTTAAAGGAACCCTCAAAGGATCCCTGAAAGGCCCCATTATAGTGCCCTGTAGTACCCTGAAAAGGGACCCTACCATAGAACCCTATGCTCCTTCTTCAAGAAACCCTTGAATGAGCACCCTTATAGAACCCTATGGATCCCTTAAAGGAACCCTGGTCCCTTAAGGGATATAGGGTGGACCATCTCGACCGAGATGCGTAGGCGCAGGGCCTCGAACGCGAGCTGTGAAGTTCAGCTGCTTCAGGCGCTCGCGCACCTAAAACAGGGCTTGGGGTTTAGGGTTTAAAACAGATCCGACTAATCTGCAGTATGTAATTTCGCAATCCGTTCTCAGTTCTCTCGCAGTCCCGACACTATTATGCTCTAAGCACACACCAAAGTCGGGGCAAGAGAACTCAGGCTTTCTGCTTGTGGACTTCGGGTCTGCCCAGAGACTCCAATATCCCTTATTAAGGAATATACCTTAAATTATAGTAGGATCCCTACTATGATTTAAGGAATATTCCTCAATTAAGGGATGTTGGAGTCTCTGGGTGTTCCTGGGTTCAATCTTTGAGCTTGGGAGTGCGTAGGCTTCTGACTTACCTCTGGTTAGTAGGGAATGGAGGAATGGGGTAAAATTGTGACTAGTATTACTACCATTCTTCCATTCCCTACTAACCATTTGTAAGCTGAGGGACTGAGTATCCTAGCCCAAAATTGCTTGACCTTTCGAATGATACTGTTGATGATATGAATCCTGCATTACCTTAATTAAGGACCCTAAACTATGGGAATTATGGTATATTGCTTATGATGGGTAATGGAGGATTTACATCATCAACCGTAGCCCCGAGTTGGTTGACCTTTCAAGTTATAGTAACGATTGTATTCGCCCCAAGAGGTTACAGTTAAAGTTGAAGGATACCTACTCAGCCCCGAAGCTTTGAGGAATACTTTTGATCTAACCTCTTCCTTCATTGTCGGGCGCTTAAATTTCTGTTGCGGCCATAGCCGTTAAGGTAATGGTTTAGGAAGTAAGGGCAAACATGTAGGATTCTTTTCCTTTGCTTCGGTGAGTCTTTCGGGTCCCTAATTCATGGGTTCTGCCACTTCAAGCCTTTGGAAAGGTCTTCGTGCTTGGGTGGAGCTTTTCAGGTGTGGGCGCTAGCGTTCGCTTACTCTCTAAACCCTTAATGCGATTAAGTCCAAGGACAAGGAGCGGTGGTCCTAGAGACCGTGCCTAGCGAGCTTGCCGGGAAGATACGCCTCAAAATCTTCTACTTCATTGACCATGCGACTCGGGCTTCGATGTTGTTTAGGGTTTAGAGTTTAGGGTAGGAGAGCAGGACTACCGGCATTTCAACCCTTGCTTACTAAGCAGGCTGCAAATCCCTAGAGGCCTAACACCGAATCCCAATGCACTACACGCAACAACAGTAAACCAACAGAAAATCTTATAGCTAGAACCCTGAACCCCGAAACTTAAACTAACCCTAAACCCTAAAACTTTAACCCAAACCGTACCCCAAACATTAAACCCTACACCTTAAACCCTAAACACTCGGCCGAGACCGTAAACCCTCAAATCCTGAGCCACCCCCCAAGCTCCTTCTCTCTTTCCTGTCTCAGGTGCCCCGAAACCCTAGGCCCTAAACCCTTCTAATGTAGGGGCCCTTAATAGTTAGCATAGGGTTTTGGGGCGCATTATACTAAAATAATTGTAATGAGGAACTTCGAAATAGTATAGGTAATTATTAAGGCCAATTATTAAGGCCCCTATATCAACAACTCTTACAGAAGCCCTTACAAGAAGCCCGAACCCTGAACCGACAGTCTCAGGCGAGCTGCAGCTTCACAGCCCTCAGTGGTGGACGGCTCGTCCACGCCAGAGTGGTTGTAGCAGTGCCTTACGGCGGCAGGTTCTGGGTTCGGGATAGGGTTTAGGGTTTAGGGTTTAAGGGTTGTGGTTGAGGGGTTTAGGGATTGAGGCTTAGGGTCACGCGAGTTCTATAGCAGTCGATCCCTGTTTACAAACCCATTTCTTTCAAGGTCGAGCGGGAGCGGGCTTGTCAATCAGGCATCTACAATGGTCCTTAAACTTCCGGCAGAACTAGGATACAAGTAACCCGAGCCTCCGAGTAGGCGGGGAATCTGCTCGGTGCCCGGACTCCAACTCAACTCATATGTAGGATCCCCAATAGTTCAAAGAAGCCCTGTGCAGCCCTTTGACCAAATGTGGGCGTTAGGGTAAACCGTGGATGAACGGCCCTAAACAAAGCCTCCTTGTAAAACAGAACCCTCGCGAAGCCTCACGAAGATCCATCTTCCTTACTTACGTGTTTTTTGGAGCCCACAAAACCCTTGAAAGGCCATAATCAACCACATACGAACCTCTGGGTGGCGTACAGGACCGGCGACGGAGAGCCTCATTGCGAGCTTCAAGTTCGATCCAGAAGTCATGG